ATCTATTATATTCATTAGATGTTTATTACACTAAAGAAGGTCCAAACTTGAGGACCGAAACGTATGTGTTTTTTGGAATAAAGACTTATATTTATACACGCACATCCTGTATTTACTGCTCGTATCGGCCTTTTAATTATTCTTAAGGTTTGGAAGGTTTATCTTCAGATGAGTTACTGCCAGAAGATATTTTCTGAGCGATAGAGTCTATGAGAGAGTGATTAATTGAAGATCTTTTGTTTGAGGAAGAAGAGAAGGAGAAGGTTACTCTTCCTCTGTTGTTTCTCCACACAGGTGGGAAGCGTACTGAGGGGAGAGGAGATTTTAGAGAGATAACCTCTGCATAGGAGAGGTTAGAAGTGGGTGAAGAGTTGTACAGAGGACCGTCTGAACCCTCAGGGGAGGGAACGGACCCGACCCGAGGGGAGGGCATCCTCGGATTAGCCACGGTTGATCTCTGAGGTACGGAAGAACTTGGCATTCCACCCCCTGAAAACCGGAAGACATCTCTATTAGGAAAGAATTCACCGAGAGTGGGGAGTAGAACTGAAATATTGGACAGGTTGGAGTCTAGTCCAGAAAAGGTATTTCCTTTGTCATACAGACTAGCCGCATCACGGAAGGAGAGATCTCTATAAGCCATAATTTTATGTATCTCACGTTGTCTCTGGAAAACGGGGCAACGGAGTTCTGAGGACTGATGGTTAGTGTTTCCGGCCTTGAAACGGATGCAATTTATGCATTCGTCCAGAATATTCGGGCAACTGGGTTTAGGGTGGCCCGACTTGCCACACTTTTCGCAGAACCTGCGTCTTTCGTCGCCGGACTGCTTACAGGAATGAGCGGTGTGTCCGAACTTTTGACAGAACTCGCAACGTCTAACCTTATACACGTAAGGGGTTAGGGAAAGACGTTTCTCTACATACAAGCAAGACGGAGGGACCACAGGGGTGCAGAACCTTAGGATGAGCTGGTTTGTGCTTACATACCTAGGGCTGGAGGTGGCGCTTCCCTTTTCCCTGCGAGTGATTCTGATTGCCTCAAAAGGAGGAACCCACTCTTGGCCCCACCCGGGAGAGGGGGGGGGGCGAAGACCGGCCAACAACTCCTCGACAGTTTCCTCCTCGTCAACACCTTTCAAAACAAACTGCTTGACCACCCTGAACGACGGGACATGCGCTGTCCACTGTTCGCAAGGGGTTACTCTATCAGCGACTTCCCGGAAGGCCTCGACAAATCGATTAGCATCATTACCTGTGGGGAAGCAGATCGAAAACTTATTTCTGCCGATCATACGTAAGTCAAAAGCAAGTAAAAACTGGTTTAAAAGAAGACGATTGAGCCTCTTGCCCAGGCCAATGGCGCTAAGCGAGGTTCCTTTTTTACCTGTGTTACGTTCTTTCTCAGGGCCATCCTCTCCTGTAGAAGAGGGTTGTGGACGGCATGTTTCGATGTGTACCATAAAAGGGCCCTTGGAATCTTTATGGTATCTATTGAGTACGAGCTGCCTTTGTACACTAGACATCGCTGAGAATGTACGCTTGAGAGGGGGAGTTGGACCGACGCCACCCCTCTTCTTCGATGAATTTGTCCCCACGGGCTCCGTGGAGACGAAAGAACAAGACGGGGAATTAACCAGGGACACAATACGTGTCCCGCGGTCATTACCTGGCACTGCAGCGAGCACAGGGACGTGGCTGTTAGGAGTGGGGGTTATGTTTTCCCCTGGCGGGAAGCCCGTCTCTGACATGACTACGTCGACCGTTTCGTTGGTCATCCTCGTAGTCCCAACTCGAAACGTGTTTCACTGTGTCTAAAATGCACTATACTAACACGCGAGTAAAGTTTTGAGAAGCAATTAAACTTGGTTAGAGATTTTAATCGCACAAAAGTTTTCAATTTCACTTTAAAAGTAAGGCAAGATGGCGTCCACGTGGTTGAATCCACAGGTCGTTAGACCGTAATAGGCGATTTTTGGCGATCGTATGGTACATATACTAAAGTGTACCAAACTATAATTTGAAGTCACTCGAACTATAGTTTGGTACACTTTGGTATATGTACCATACGATCGCCAAAAATCGCCTAATGCCGCCGTTGTCGTGAAAACGACAGATTTAGAGGAGAACTTAGGCTCCAAAGACCTGAGCTTTACTTACAACAGAAAGTCCAAATGATTTCGCTATGTATAAGCAGAGAGAAACCTGAGAGCGGCCATCCTATTGTAATTTTTTACGACGGTTTCAGCCGCTGGTTTTAGCCGTATTTCCA